TCATCGGTAATGATGCACGTGGCCTTTGATGCCTGGAGTCGATACAGTATGTCTTTGGCTGATAACTGGGATATTCCTGGAATTAAGACAATTCCTGGAAGAGCAATAAAGTTAGTTTGGGATGGCATTTTTTACATCTAATTCTCTTCTAAGAACCTAAACTATTAACTATTCCCAAACTGACCTCAGATGGATTTGCCTTGGCATTCCCAAGCCAAACAGTTATAGTGGAATAATGCAGCTGCTTGTGCTCTCCTGTAAGGAATGAAATGTGGACCCCTCTGGTGACTTCCACTGCTCTTCCCTGCCTTCTGTCATCTCCATGCCTGCTGCACAGGCCACCTGTCCTACAGCACCTACTGCAAATCCTTCAGGACTGCCTGCATAATTGGTAGCTAGGCCACTCGCTAGATTATTACATTACTTTTCCTTTATAAACCATATAAATACTTGATCCTCTCAACTGATTTGCATTAACCAGGTTTACCAGTCTCAGATATGCTCACTGACCTGCTCGCATGCAAGCCACATTCACCAGCCACCATTCTGGGACTCGCGGCAGGATCACAACAATTCTGTCCCCCTTCTGCAGTCCACATACTTTAGTCAGCACATTGGCCACTTTCCGAGACAGGAACCCCAGCTCCTCAAAGCTCCACTTCACTTCTTCTCCTTTTCCATTTATCCACCAAAAGGCAGGGTTTGATGGTCTCTTTCCAGCCTACAAAACATAGGGATTCAAAACCAAAACATTTTATTCTGAAAGACCACAAAATTATAATGCACAAATATCTGCAAATTATGGAAAATCTGAGTATTTCACAACTGGCATATAAGCTATTATTTTTCCCTTGTCCTTAATGGATCGAGATCAAGCTTAGATATTCCCCATAAATTCTCCTTTTCTGAACCTGAAATGTTTCCCAGCCCAATTGTCTTCAGACTTAAGTCCTAGTCTGGATCCTATTTCAGTTTAAGCCTTATGCTGAGCATTAATGCTTCTACAAAGTTACAGATAACGTGAAATACTTCACATAATACTCCTGATATTCTGGATGGAGTTGTGGAATACTATTAAACAGAAGCAGCACAGGCAGAGGACAAAATAAAACAACAGGACAACATGGTATCCCAGGACTCTTTCTAGTCTGATTGCTCAGAAAGAGGGGAGTTAAGCGGTCTTTAACTACAGGCCATCTGGACAAATGCAGAATCCACTTTGGAGCAAGGCAATTAAACATTTGTGGGAGAATTTTCCCTAGCATGCAATGTTATTGTTATGCTACCTGTATTTTTATGATTTATTTATTACAGTATGCAGAAGGAATAAGCACAGCCATTCCGAGGTTAAATCAAAGTCAAAAGGGACTTACCAATTCTTTTTCTACCTACATAGGGAGCACCGTGGGTGAGAGACACTTTTAAAATAAAGCAAGAAAGAATGAGGTTTTGTATAATTTCCTAATGCAAATTGGCTTTGGCAACTGATTTTTTTGATAAAGAAAAAACCCAACTTATTTCAAATGAAATTTCAGATTAAAGTATCTCATCTGCACAACAAAAGACCGATTACCTTTTCAATCTCAGACCATTTGTCCAGTACATCACTTGCAAAGTTAAAGTACTTTGGTATCTCCTGTTCACCCCTCCTGACAGACTCGTACTGTGAATATACATCAGAGGCAAGCAGCCTGGGGTGTCCGTGGAAAGTCCTATTAGGAGGCTTCAGAGTCCACAAGGATTTTAGAGTCTGTAATTTAAACAACAACTTCATGGCAGAAGATGATGTACATAGATGCTGTGGACTATATAAGAAAATTTGCAGAATTGTTGCTATGAATCCTGCAACAACAACAAAAAAAAAAAGAAAAAGAAAATAATCTTGAGATTATCCAAAGACAATTCAGTTATGAATTGGTGAGTTATTAATTGAAGTCACTGAGGCTAGTCACAGCCAAACTGGTGTTTTTAACAATTCAATTAAATGTGAAGTTCCCCATCCTGCTTTCTTATTTTTTTTACCACCAGCTTTTTAAGGACTTAATGTACAGTACTGATCTGGCATCTTGTCTGTAGTTCAGCAGATCTTTACAGATTCTTGATGTGTTCTTTGGGGCTGCTAATTGCCCACAACTCTCCTTAGTCAAACACAACATCAGATGTTATTGTTTGCATTATGAGAAGGTTACTGGTTCTTACACCAAAGCATTCAAGTAGCTGATTCTCTATTCCTTTTCCTTCACATGGAGCTAAAGGATGTTTCCAGACTACTTCCATCAAGATTCTCACTGCTTTAGCCTGAACAGTTGCTGACTGATATATCCATTCACCACATACATCCGAAGAACCTTCACTTCAGGAATCCCTTACGTAGGTCCCCAAATTTGATTTAGACACTTCTACATTTGCTCGCTGTAAATGCCCTCTTCCATCTGTACTCACCATAATGATCCTAAAAGCTCTCAAGTCCAATTATTTTCTTCCTTTCCATTGCTACTCTTCTTTTTTTCTTTCTCTCTTTTTTTTTTTTTTCCCCCAGCACTCTAGAAGATTGCTTCAGAACTGTGCTCAACTCTAAAAATTTTAATGCTATTTAGAGGCTTCTCCTAAGTGCACATGAAGATTATCAAACATGGAAAAAAAACCTGGCTCCTGTCTGGAAGAGCTTGCAGTCAGAGCAGGAGCCAGTGGAGTCCTGGAGGCCTATGATGTTTCTAAAACCTGGGTCCATCTATTGATTTTCCTTTTGCAACCACTAAACACAAGTCACTAAACTCAGTACAAGGTTGGGTGAGTGACTGTTGAAATACAGATTAATTTTCTTTTCTGTTCTTACAAAGGATGAAGCTATCCACAAACTAGGAACAAAATTATAGGTAAACTCTTGATCAAGTTCTTTTCCATGTGGAATTTCTGTGGCCTGAGCGAAGCTGTAAAGTTTTGCCCTTTGTCCCAGGTTTTTAAGTTCGTTTTGTATTCATTTACCTTTTGTCCCATGTTTTCAACCGTACCCACTTATCCTTACATCTCTGATGCATGGATCTCAGTTTTGGTCAAATTTTATTCACCAAGAAAAAGTAACTTATTTAACAGTGGAATTATTTCCTTACTCCTTAACAGGAGCTTTTACAGTAATATTTAATCTGCCTATCAGGTGAATGAACTCAAATACCCAGAACTGGCACAACTTAATCTTTTCAGTGATACCTGACAGCATAAAAAATCTGGATGGAGATTTTCCCCCCAGAACAGATACCTTGTCAAAACAACAGTAATTTGCAGTGTTCTCCATGCTACATGGAAATTGTGGTAGAGAAAAACTGACCAGCTGTAAATAATCCTATAGGGTATCATTTGCTCCTGAGAAAGAATCATAAGACACGGATATAAAATTAAGTGTTATTATGTCCCTAAGTGCTACCCATTTCAGAATCAGGATTATAGAGCAGAAACTTATTTAGATGGTACTTACATTTTAAACCAAAACTCTATTAACAGGACCTGGTGGAAAAAATTAATCTGAAAAGGTTTTACGGTGAAAAATGGTCTTTTAAATATTCCCTAAATATGTCCTCTTTGAGGTTGTGACCTCCACTGTTAATGCTAAAAAACAATGGATCCACTTTCATTCCTTTAAAAGAAAAGCCTAATCATTTTGATTATTCTTTTTAATCACATAGTAAGATATTTCTCATTTCTTAGTCTGCTCTAATTCTATGACTTAGCTATAATCTACAGATTTCAGAGCATTGCAATGACAAAATCTACACAATAGCCTGTAAAGAAAAGAGGAGAGAAAGAACTTTTAGGAACAGTATTCAAGACTGGAAATAGCATTCAAGACTGGCAAGATAAAAACTATTTTAAATCCAGGATTCCCTACTGGTCTACAAAAATGTCTGCAAAGTTTTTCTGTGGGAGCCTTTGACAGTTTTTAGCACTTTTTCACCTGCAAACTTAGAGATGAAAATGAAGTAAGAAAATTGAGGAAAAGACCCAGTAATGGCAAAGTCCTCTGAACTGCTGCAAGAATCAGAAATTATTTTTTCTGATTTAGTACCATCTGCTGCTTCTCAATGGTCAGCAACACTAGGAATTCAGACAAACAACGTTTTACTGACCTGTTTGCTGTGGACAGTATAGATTGAGAGCTGGCTGGGGTAGATCCTCTTCATTTAGTTCATTTGGCTTTCAGGACATGTGTTTCCCAAACGAGGCACTGTAAAGATTAGCCTTTATCTGGAGACGTGAAACCTGGACGCTCTGCCAAAAAGGATTTGGAGTGAAACTCTTTCTACTTTATCATTTGCTTCTTTTGAAGTAATGAGAACAGAACATAGCACAAAACAGACCAGGCAGCACAAGTCTTTCTGTGAAGTAACCTTTTTCTTGTAATCATTTACACCGTTGTTAATTGTGCATAATTTGCACCTTAACCTAAAGCACTTTGTATCTTCTCTTTTCCCCCACTTTAACCATTTAAGTAGATCACAAATTCATCAAGATGAAGAGAAGTAGTTAAAAAATATGTCTTTCTCCTTCCACTCAGAAAGAATTTGGGAATGTTACAGTGATAATTTTCGAAGAGAGAATCACTTCTGATACCCACTACAGGACAAAGATTATTTTTATTAATTTCTCCTTTATTTGTAATTATCAAAATGTTGTAGTTACACTTTTTTTTTTTTTTTAAAGGAAACTGTTTATACTAATTCCAGAAAAAAATTAAACCTTTGTAAGCTCTTGGATCTATCCCTTCTCTCTCCCATTCCTCATTCTTAATTATTTGCACCTTCCCCCTTCTGAAAATTTGTAGGTCGTTGGCAAAATGGTCTAATAATACATATCCTCAAGCCATATGAGTGTTATCTCCTTTTTTTTCCGCAGCTTGTTTTTCCATATGTTCTCCTAGTGCTCTGGGTCATGACCACACGCCAGCTGTGATGTGCTATGGCTGGTATGGATGATGGAAAGTTTCTCTCCTCAGTTTCCAGATCATGTTATACTCTTCCCCACTCTTTGTTCCTTAAAACCTTTCTCTGGATTTTCCCAGTAGCCGTCTTTGGCAGATCCTGAACAAACTCCACCTGAAAGGCAAAAATGCTCACTTTTAGCCAAACACATTCTGATTAATCTCTCAGGTGCAAGGAAAGACACACTTCTATTATGGCTGGGGTAAAAAGATGGGAAGCTGCACAGCTTGGGGCTGGGACAGTGAAATTCCTTACTACACATCTTAGCTGACTGCACAGGTGGTACTTGCAGGGACAAGTACCACAATCCTGAAGAGATGTCAGCTGTCAGGACAGGGAGTTACTGGTGTCTTTCCTGGTTGTAA